ATGAATGCCATCTACAAAATCTCATTCTAGTTTTATACTTCATTCCTGATACTGAGCTAGAGACAAAGCATCACCTTTTGATCTCTTCATCACAGCTTTTCTTCATTCCAAAAGTGGAATGTTTGCATTTATCCCTTATTTTAGAAATGGATTCCAAGGAAAGGGAAGGTCTGGTGATGACTTTATTTCTCCTGCTAGATAATGTCTGAGTAGGGGAGTAAAATCAGCTCCAAAGTGGAAATCCTCACATTGCCATTCTGGTTACAGATGGTTTTTGCCTGATGTCCTGGGATAAATGCAGACATTTGCATTAAAGTGCTATCACCAGAACAGCACCTTCATCTTGAGGGAACCAGTATAGAGTATACTGGGCAAAATATCTGTATACCTTACAAAATATAAATCCCAGTAGAGCTTTTCCTGGTGTGTATAGTAGACTTACATATGGAATTTTACACATGGGTTTCTCCCACTTGTCAGTCAAGTCTTTTAGCATCCCTGACAAGTGAACTGCAGAGGCTGCAATAATTTATCCTCAATGATCCCTGTTCCTGCACAGGTTCCTGCTGTGTGAGCAGTGATGCCATATTGAGGTGTCCCTGTCACAGGTCACTGTGTTCCAGGCACTGCACAGAGACCCTGTGCAGGTTTGATGGTCTGGGCTGTGGAATTCAGTAGCTGAGATCCAAGCACCTGTGGGGTTGTGCTCATCCTCCACCCTCCCTGAGGTGCAAGGGATGGGGATGGAGGGTCAGGGTGGGGACAGTGGCAGAGGCACAGCTGGGCCCACTGGTGCTTGCTCATCAAACATTTTCAGCACATCTGGGTTGTTTAGTCATTTACTAGACACACTGATGCCTTGCCGAAGAGTGAGATAAAAAAGCCTTGGGTTTCAGTTTAAGAAATCTTGATTTGATTTTGTCCAGTGGACATAGCAATGCTCAAGGCAGGTGGTTCAGAGCCAGCCATGCCTGCCTGAAATAGGAAACTGTTGGAAACCCTTTGGCTTCTGAACCCAAAACAAGGATAAAAAGTAAAAGATTCAGTGTGTTAGGGTATTAACAGTTCGCTGCTTAATTCACATCTATTCCTCACATAGCTGCTCTTAGTATGTGCAAGAGTGGTGTAGAGGCAACCAAAAGGCTGCAGATAGGGTAATTTGCACAGAAAATTATGTTGACTGCACTGAATATTAACATAAGATATTATTGTAAAGCAGCTCTGAAAATTACATTCAACTAATCTAGTCAATCAACTAATATACTTATTTAGAGAGACAAGCTATTGTAAAAGAGCACAGTTCTCAGCTAGCTAAAAACATATTTTCTCTCATGTTTATCTTGATTGTATCCCCAAAGGATATTTCTTCCTCTCTTTTATGAAGAATTATTTCCATATTTAATTTATATGTACATTTTTTGCTTTTCCTGGAGGACCGAAAATATTTTCTGACTTTTGCAGTCGGTTGAGAAACTTGTTATTAAAACCTTTCTGTCATACTTATTTGAAAATCCATTTTCTGTGTTGTTCATTGCTGCTGTGTGCTTCTGGATTGCAGTTTTCACCCCTTTGTGAACTTGCCTCAGAAAGAGTCTCAGTTCAGCTACCTGGAGGGTCACTTGATTCAATTGTCTTTTTGTAAACTCCTGAACGTTTCTGCTCAAGTCAAGAGCTATTTTAATAACCAAACATACTTATTCTGCATAGTTTTCCTGAACTGTGTGTAACTATGTATTTATTGGTTACAGGAGTGCCAGTCCTGTTAGAGCTGGAGCAGGCTGTGTTTCACAGGGTCCACTGCAGAGCTGATGAGCTCCACAGGGGCTGCTGCAAGCTCTGAAGTTTGGCAGCTCCCTGTAGAGCTCACAAGTTCTTAGGGCCCTGAACCAAGCATAATTGCAGAGTTGGGGCCTTCACTGTGAAGGACCTCACCAAATAATTAGCTGCCCTAATTAAGCAGCTGAGGAACACTCAGGAAAGTGAGTGTTTGTGGATCAGAAAGTTGTAAAGCTGATGGGTGCTGGCAATAAATTTGTCTCCTTCTCTGCTTACTGTTGGAAATCACTGCTGAATTACAGCATCTAATCTTGGCATTGGTAGTCTGTGAGCTTCCTTCTCTGGATGGGGGATATTCTGCCATCAGAGTGCCTAGACTTTATGAGCTTTTTGGAAAAAATCTCTGTTACTTATTAGATTTGTTCATCAAGCAGAATGAACTGTGACATGCTGTTTCGTCCTTTTGTTAGGTTGGGTTTTTGTTTTCCTATGGCAAAACCTTCTATTTGAGGCAAATCAAAACTGTGAAGTTACAACTAGACAGTGCAAAGGGGCCTTTTAGAAGGAAATTTTATTGCATGGATTCACCTTATGCAGCAGAATGCAAAACCCAAAAATTCCTAGATTTAAAGAGGCATAGAAAATAGTTTGTAGGGAAAAACTGTCAAAACTCTATTTGTTCATAATTTTTAGTGATGGGATAAACTTTAATATAAACCAACATTTTCAACCACAGTCAAACAAAACACCAACTAATATTTTTTATTTAAGTCTAAGAACCTTCCTCTCTTCTATAAGTATATATCAAGTTCTTGATGTTCCTTAACTTTTTGGAGGGCAGCATAACTCTATAATACTGAAAGTTACAAGCACATATAAAAAGCAATACACTTTGTTGTTGTTTTTCTTCTGCTTTTAGATTTTATAAGAATGCACAACCATTTCCAGACTCTGCTGGTAAAATTAAAATCTAGATTCCTGGATTTTAATTGCATTGCAAGGTATAATTAGATGATTTAGCACAAGACATTACTTTTCTCTTAATACTTTCCTCTCTCCCATGGGCTTGGGTGGTGACTTTTAAATTTTTTTAAAATTGAAATAACAAAATGTGTTTGAAGAGGAAGGGGAAGAGGGAGAATGGCCCTCACCTTGTCTGCATGGCTCTTATCAGCTGGAGCATGGCTGGTTGCTGAGATTTTTAATGGAGACATTAAAACCCACAGGCTTTCAAGGAAGGTGGAGGAAAATAAACATGACAGTGAAAAAACCCAAACTATTGTTAGAAAGTGCACAGAGGTCACTGGAGCTGATTGGAAATATTACTGAATCTTAAAGTCAGTTCTGTGTGTGTGTCTTCCTCTTGACAAATGCAATAGGGCTGCTTTTGTGATGTCTGGGAAGCCTTTAGTTTCTTACCAAACTACCTTTACCTGGTTTTGCTTCAGTAATTGCAGTGTGCATGAGAGGTGAGAGCGAGACAGGGAAGAATATGAGGCTGTACAGCAATTAATGAGCTGTTTCAGCCCCAAAAAATCAGTCCAGCAGGCTGGTCAGAGCCTTGGAACCTATTAACCTTGATTTGGAAGTCTAAGACTTGACAGCTGGAGCAAAGCAGGGCTGTCTTAAAGAAGTTAACAGTAAAGCTGTGTTTTTCTCTTTGCTTTCTCACATGCTCACTGGTGAAATGCTGCCTGACTTTTTGGAACATTTCTTCTTTCAAGTGTGATTTCTTATTGCATAGCTTGACCAGATGCCTTGCTACTGTGCTACCCATCTGAAAAATATTTGGTGTTTGTCCTTCTTCCTGATGAAAACCCAATTTATCTGAGGCACTTGTTTATACCTACAGAAATCTCACACATTCTCTTCAGATATTTTTGTGCTCTGTGTTAAGATAAGCGTGTTGCTCCATGAAGAATGACTCACTTGGGATCAAATAGGACAATATTTGTGTTAATCAGCTGCATTTCTATAGTCCACAGATTTTGCTGCATATTAAAACAAGCATGCTGTAGACATGAATTAAGAGGGAAGATATAACATGGAATTTCCTGACTTTTTAAAATAAGAAGAATAAGAATAAATCTTTGCCAAGAATAACTTCATCTGCAAGTGTTTCTTAAATGTGTTGCACATTTGTTTTTCTTCAGAGGATGGGTGGCTAGGCCTCCTCACATGTGGCTACCATACACTGACCTGTTGTGGTTGTGTGATGATCTGAGTTTGATTAAAGGCTTCAGGTCTTTCCTAATCTGGATTGTTCTGACTGAGCCAGGCTTTGGAGCACAGATAGGAGCAGGTAATGCTGGCAGATGTCATGAGGTTATGAGAAGCAATTTAGGACAGTAGTCTGTTCCAGCTGCAACAACAAAACAGAGCAAGCACCATGGACACACTTTGGCTGATCTGTTTGTATTCTGTGTTACTTCAGTTTACTTATGCATTCTGTCAACAACCCACAAAAGTAAATCCATTTTCTACCACCTGCAGAAAAAGGGCAAATATTCTTACCCCCTGCTAGTCTCCAGCCAAAACAAAGTGATTTCCCTTGCTTTGCCTCTATCTTAAATGCAACTGAGTAACTTCCCTCTCCCCACTACTTGTTAAATAATGTTTAGAAATTGATGCATGTTAGATGTTTTAAAACGTGCTTGTCCAGTCTTAAAAGATTTTACAGAGTGTTTTTCTCAGTTACTGGATGCAAGCTGTTCTTCTAAACATGTTGACGTAGCTGCTTGTCTTGGAATTTGTTGGGAAATAAAAGGACATGAATTGATCTTCCATCAAAACCACTTTACTGCATCACATGCAGCTATGTCTGCTCTAAGTCTGCACACCTTCTTCTGTGCCCCCCCTAAATTCTGACACTTATTAGAGGAGCTTTTGTACTTTTATGACAATTTGTAATATCTGCCTTTGCTGTTTATGATGAATTTTGAGATGGTTGTCAAGATCTGTTGGATATCTCCAACTTTCTCAGTTGACCCAAGCAAAGAAGGAAACATGGAAATATAACCTGATATAGTACTGTGGGTTTGTCTTAAATTGTTTTTCTTCAGCTTTTTGTAAAGTAACTTTGCTTTGTTTCCCAGGGTATGTGCCCTTTACCAAGCAGAGCAGAGCTCTACAGGCATTGTCTCTGCAGAACAGTGTGCCTTTACTGAAAGTGTAGATTTATACATGATTGCTTTCTTTTTTTGTCTTTTTCCAAATAACTGCAGGTTCATGTACTGGACAGACTGGGGAGAAGCACCAAAGATAGAACGAGCGGGGATGGATGGTTCGAGCCGCTCCATCATCGTTAACACGGACATCTATTGGCCAAACGGACTGACTCTGGATTATGAGGAACAGAAACTCTACTGGGCAGATGCTAAACTGAATTTCATCCACAAATCAAATCTAGATGGAAGTCATAGGTAAGAAGTTTTTGGTTTATGGGTGTAGTGTGGGGATTTTTTTAGAAGATGCTGCCTAAGCAATATTGTAATCTCTGTTGCAGCGAATTGTCACGTTAGCACTCACAAGCAAACCAGTGCTGTCAGAAACTTTTATCCTTCACAATCCTCACCTTTCCAGCACTGAGAAGTGGAATGTGTCCTTCTCTTCAGGGTATCCTGTAACTCTCCCAAAGATTTTTCTCAGAACCGGTTCCATTTAAAAATCCTCAAATCCTGCTCTTAATAGTGTAAGACTATATAGCAGAATTGTCTATTTTCAGTAGGTGTTCTGTGCAAGGTTGCTGTGGTATTCAGAAATGCAGAAGATAATATGAGAAAATGGATCATCATCTATTAATATTTCAGTTTCATTAATCCTAGGTGCTGGGAAATTAGTGGAAAACAGTCCTTAAAGGAGAGCTGTGCTAAAATGACTTTTTCTTGAACAGATTTATAGCAATCAAGTGATTCTTTTTGATCCAATCATGGCTACTTCTTAATTAGGGTATAACTGGTACTTTATGGATATGTGTTCATCTCTAATTTGGGCAATGACTCTCTTCATTAGATAGATTTGATGATTACTGCCTGCACACACAAATCACAGCTTGTGCCCAAGGTGTCATATGGAGAGATGATTTTTGTGGGATTATTCTTTGCAAATTTTTGTGTTGTTTCAGCTAGTTTAGATGGGCATGAAGTATCCTTTCTTATGTTCTCTGTTCTGGCCTCCTAGGGACTTGCCCACCTTTCACCACAAATGTTAATTTGACATAAAGAAATTAATTCTATTGATAAGATCATTCTGTTGTGTGGACTGACAAGTAGGACCACAGGCAACATGTATGAAACATGCCCACTGTCTTCTTGTGATATTTATTTTGAACTCCACAATGCCTTTGTAATGCTGGTTTGAAAGGTTTGAAGTTACATCACTTTTCTCCTAAATTCTGCCTTTTAAGTGATCACAAGTTCATGCAGTATGGTTCATGGAAAGTACCTGGAGTTGGATGCAGTTTTAAATTTGTGTCTTTGGATATGTGTTATGACTAGCTTGGTTAATAAAAAACATGGATTGTGGATATCTAATTTGAAGTAGTCCTTCATTTGCTGTTTCTTTCACAAGAAAAAAACTCAGTACCAAAAAGACAGACTATTTCCTAGAGATTCTTTCAAAAAAGATGACTGTCACATAAGTTCTCGAGTGATTGAGAGCAAAGGATAGAAATTATCATATATGGTAGAAATTTGAGTATTTTTAATTTTATCTGGTGTCTCCAGCCTTTCTTGTTCCAGAGCTACTTCAGTGTTTCCTGCTGGCAGTTCTGCTTTTTCAATCTTGTTTTGCTACTGACTTCTTTGCAGTTTCTCTCTTGCTGGTATTCTGTTGCACAGTGGTATAAATATATTTGGTTTGGTATTCTGTTTTTATTTTCATGCTATTTATTCCCTGGTCTGCCCTGGGTTAACCTGGGGAATGAGGCTGAGGAGGTGCTGAATTTTCTCGGTGCAAGGGGCTGACCAGCCTTGTCTGTGCATACACAGCTGTGTCCAACAGCTGCCTCATGGCACAGAATTGAAATCACCTGAGTCCCAGCAGTTACCTCATTCCACACTAAATTCTCTGGAATTACTTAAGCCTCTAATAAGACCTGTATAGACAAGTAATTCAGATTTTTAGATCTATTCATTCTTTCTTACACAGCCATAAAACCCAAAGCAGTCTAATGCTTTAGGTTAAGTTTCTTTTTCATACAAATTCATACATTTCAGTACCAGGAATATGTCGTGGCAGTATGCTAATATATTACTATTTGAGGGGCAGAAAGGGAAGTCATTCCTAGAAAGGAAAGCACATTTGACTTCCCTTAAGCACTCAGAGGCACAAACCAATACTAACAGCACCTGTTTTTCCCTAGGCATGTGAGAAAGTTCTGAAGATTAAAAATCAGTCAACATCTGTATCTAGGCATTTTGGTTTCATTTTTTATTCTTTGCAGTTACATCATAAGGGGGGGGGGGGAAAGAACTGCAGAAGTTAGGCTGTTCTACAGTGGGATTTTATGTTTTGGTTTTTTTCTGCTGTGACCTCTTAGCCTCTGCCTGTATTAAGAAAAAAGATCTTCTGTCCAAAGTGTTGGGGGGTTTTTTTGTGTAGATATTGTCTTTTGGCGATCCAACAAATTTGGCTTTTTCAATGAGATATTTTACAGCTGTAATTCATATTTTATCTCTTAATTATTCTGTTCATCTTTTTCACTGACTGATTCACCAATACTAGGAAAGAAAACACAGTTTCTAATTCTGCAGCCAAAGCAAAAGCCTTTTAGATTTTACTTTTCTGTGGAAAAAATCACCCCACAGAATCAATCAAAATCCACAAAGCCTTTAGTCTTTTTTCCTAGCCATCTCCAACACCTCAAAAAAAAAAAAAAAAAAGCAACCAGCAAATAACCCCACCTACAGTTATCCACCACCACCTCTTAAGAGGGCTATCAGTTAGGGGTTTTTCCTTAAGATTTAAGTATGGAGGAGAGCAAGATCATTATCAAGTGCCTAATCTAACTTAAACCAGACTCTGGTTTATTTAGAAACTGCCAGTTCTGGTGATTTTTTTTTTATCTTGATATTTAGACCATTTTTCTAAACTGCTGCTTTATATTTATACTTAGTTGGTTTGAGGTTTTTTGTTTCTAAATTTCTCTTGATCAGAACAGATTCTTTTATCCTTGTAAAGTGTTACTAATTTTTCTGATGCCTTATCTAATGTCATGTCTGGGAAAATAGATGCTTCTGGAAGTTGGCCCTATTGAAATGAAAAAGGCAAATGGGTTATTGAAAGACATATCTTCATAAAAATTGGGTCTTCTAGATCTGGATAGTTTTGGTAACTTAGAAAAGGAAGCAGATGTGTAAAGAGATGATCTGTCAAGTTTTTTACTGTTGCATGACAGGAGGTGGGAAAGAGTCTGTAGCAGGTAAGCAATTGTAAAACCTTCATGTAAAGTAGGATGGCATAAGTTTTAATTGCTTCGGGAGAAAAATTTGGTAGCAAGTAACATCCTTGTATTAAAAAAATTCAAACAGTTTAGAGAAAACTGACTGTGGTTTGGAAAATGAAAAAATGCAGTGTAAATAGGAAAATATTTTAATTGATGTCACTGACAGTATTAAAGTATTGAAGCTCAGACCTCAGAGATCTAAAATTTGGAAGGAGTTCTCTCTAGAAATTCATGATGTATTTCTAAATCTGTAAGAAATCTGAAACTTTTTTGTTCTTTTATTCTTATATTCTGAACATTAGCTCTCTACACCTGACACTACACAAGAATTAAAACTTTTAAGGTTTATATCTCCAAGAAGTACTTTGATCTGAATTATGGAATATTATATGGAGTTGGGAGGGAACCACAAGGATCATAGAGTCCAACCCCTGGCCCTGCCCAGACACCCCCACAATCCCTGCCCAGACACCCCCACAATCCCTGCACAGACACCCCAACAATCCCTGCACAGACACCCCAACAATCCCCCCTGTGCATCCCTGAGAGCGGTGTCCAAACGCTCCCGCAGCTCTGGCAGCCTTGGGGCCGTGACCATTCCCTGGGGAGCCTGGGCAGTGCCCGACACCCTCTGGGGGAAGAACCTTTCCCTGATCTCCAGTCTGACCCTGCCCTGACCCAGCTCCAGCCGTTCCCTGGCTCCTGTCCCTGGTCCCAGAGAGCCGAGCTCAGGGCCTGCCCCTCCTGTTCCCCTCAGCACAAGCTGTGGCTGCCATGGCTGCCCTCAGCCTCCTCCAGCTGAACAGGCCAAGTGCCCTCAGCTGCTCCTCACATGGCTTCCCCTCAAGGCCCTTCACCATCCTCACACTCTCCTTTGGACACTCTCTAATAGTTTAATGTCTCTCTGATATTGTGGCACCCAAAACTTCACACAATATTCGAGCTGAGGCTGCCCCAGAGCAGAGCAGAGTGGGACAATCCCTCTGTGGCCCAGCTGTGCCTGATGTCCCCAGGACAGGGATGTCCCTCCTGGCTCCAGGACACTGCAGCCTCATGTTCACCTGGCCATTGACCAGGAACCCCTCCAGGTCCCTTTCTCTGGCACTGCTTTCCAACCTCACTCCAGTGTGTCCAGGGCTGCCCCATCCCAGGTTCATGATGGACATGAATCCTTTACTTGTTGTTTGCAGGGATCTGGAAAGTGAAAGAGTACAATAGGCTGGTGGGAGGATTCTGTAGAGAGAGAAACAAATTATAAGCCTTGATTATTGGGGTTTGGTGGAGCTTTTGTCACATCTTCCAGTAAGACTGGAGTCAGAGTGAGCCACTAAAGCAGTGTGCGTGACAGCTCTGGCAGTAGTACTCAGTTAAATATGTGGTAGAGTCATAAATTCGTGAGAAAACCTCTCTAGCAAATTTTACAGGGATGATTATGGTTCATTACCTGCTAGCCCTGGGATTTACTAGCCCTAGCTGCTCCAGTGTTGGGCTCATTAGAATAAAGACGAAGAGCAAAGAACTTGATGACTAATGCCCTTGATTTGCCAGTGAGAGAAAGAATGAACAGTTTTTCATGTCAGAATGCAATAATTACAGAACTAAATTGATGCATAGAAGAGGTGGTTTTGGTTTTTTTTGCAGCTCTTGCCCTGCTCTTATCAGAAGGAGCAGTTGCTTTTTGTGGGACTAATTAAACAAAACTGAAATGCAGACAGCTCTCCTGTGAGTAGAGTCCCCAAGATAGGTTAGCCTGCTAAAGCAGTTCTTGAATTAATTTCCCCTTCCTTTACCCTGCAGCAGCACTTCTAATTAATAAGTTAACACGTTAGTGGCTGAAGGGAAATGCACTTACAAGGTCCCCCAGGAAGTGTTTGTGCTAATGAGATGGTTTTTGAGGCCACTGTAAGAAAACATACTTTCAGCAACTGTCAGAAAGCTGGGAAGCTCTTGCAAGAGGTGAATGTCTTAAGTTTGCAC